CCCCCGTCAAATAGCTTTGTGCGCAGACGTTCCGACCTTCTGGGTGCTACATCCCCTAGTTGAGGATTGTTACTGATAGGCTTGTCCCACTGTACCCATCTTTGGAGCTGACTGGCGTTAACTCGTTTCTGTTTATCACCTCTTCGGATGGTATATACTTGACCCCGTCTTTTTGTAAGTGTCAAAACCCGACTGGCATATTCAACGATTCCCTCGTCCTGTCTTAGGACCGCACCTATAGCGTAGTCACTGGCATCTGTGCACACTGTGAACTGTCTTCCTGGTACAGGTAGTTTTAGCGTCATTTGTTGGTGGTCGAGCAGCTGTTTAATTCTGTCGAATGTCCTCTGCGATTCTTCCGACCAAACAAACTTTGGCTCACCTAGTAGCCTGTATAGAGGGGCTGCTATCTCATTGAAGTTCTTCACGAAGCGACTATAAAACGCTGCTCTACCCAAGAATTGTCTCAGTTTTCTCTTTGAATTCGGGGCTGGAATCGTTTTAATCGTCAAAATTTTCTCCGGCAGTGGTTTAATCTCACCATTTCCCACTTTATGTCCCAACAGAGTAACATTCTTTTTGGCTATCTGGGACTTGGTTTTGTTGACGCGTAGTCCAAACTCTTCGATGCGTCGCAGCACGGCTTCTACATGGTTGACGTGATCGTTTTCGTTTTGACTGTATATGACGAGATCATCACCATAAACCTCCACGTTTTTCAAGTTCCTAAGTAATAGCTTCATCAGTCGTCTGAACGTAAACGGTGCACCTGCTAGTCCAAACGGCATGCGTTTAAATCGATATTGTGTCTGACCCACGATGAAAGCCGTCTTATCTCTATCACCTTGTTTTATCGGTATCTGCCAGTATCCTGAGCGAAGATCGAGAACCGAAAACACATTCGCACCTTGTAGGCGATCTAAAGTTTCTACCACTGTTGGCATGGCACACGGTCTTAACTCTGTCATACTGTTTAACTGTCGAAAATCAACACAGAATCTATACTTCCCATTCGCTTTTTTTACTAACAGCACTGGAGAGTTGTACGGGCTATCAGCTTCCTCAATAATATCATCTTTTAACATCTCTTGCACTTGTCGCTCCACTTCGCCTTCCAGATGACATGGAACTCTTCGCGTTGTAAATGACCTTACTTTCGGATCACTTAACGGAATTTCATGATTCACCTTATCGCAATAACCGTATGGGTCGCCATCTCCAGTGAACAGATGATCGTATTTATTAATTAACTCTGTCACATTGTGTACCGTCGACAGCTTAATCGCTGCTATCTCGCTGGTCTCATACATGTTGATATGCCCGTATTTCGTGACCACAACGTTCGCTTGCGTGTCGATTATTGCACCAATCTCACGCAGAAAATCCGCTCCTAATATCGTTCGCTGTAGTTCGGGTACAACAATGAAAGGAAACGTCACCTCGCAGCCACCAACAACGACCGTACAGTTCGATCTACCCGTTATACGCAACACATACCCGCCTACTGTTTGTACTGTCAATGAACACGGACTAACACTCTTACATAAATTCTTATCTATTAACGACACGGCCGCCCCTGTATCTATCAAACATACTACTTCTCGATCATTCACTCGCAACTTCGAATACAGAGCGCCTTTCTCAATAGCCCCCACTAAATCTAGGTTCATACGAGAGAAAGAACAAGCATTATACCGTCTGAAATTTTTTCTTTTTCGCCTTTCTGGGCAGTATCTTCTCCAGTGTCCCGGCTTACCGCATTCAAAACACCGGTCTTTTCTATCAGCCAACTTTAACGCCGCCACTTCCCGCTGCAATGCTTCAATTTTTTGCTCATATTCGTTTGGTTTTGGTTGGTCTATAGCGGCTACCGTTGTGCTCAGCAGCTGTCTGGTCACCTTCGCCAGCTCACTAATATCCATCGGCTGCGTTGCGTTAACCAGTTTTAATCGCTGAGAAATGTGGTCTGGGACACTCTCGATGAATTGGGAAGACAGTAACTGCGCTTCTGATTCTTCATCTAAAGTGGGAAGCGCGCGTCGAAGTAGATTAGTCAGTTTCACCGCCAACACTAGCGGGTCTCCATCAGGTCCAAGCTTCATTGACCGGAACTGCTGCATTGCTAGCTGTCTGTCTGTTTCGCTGTCAAACTCGGACACTAGTCGTTCAACCAATTTCTTCCAAGACGCTGTGCCATTTGACCTGTCTACGCTGTCATATGCAGCCTTCGCTCGGCCTCTCAACAGCGTCCCCAGGACAACTGCCTTCGCCGCCTGCTCCTTGACACCCACCAGCTCAGCAACAGCCTCGAAGTCACGTAAGAAGCTCCGTATGTCTCCTTCTTCAAACGCAGCTGGCCACGGGATCTTCATTTTCTGGAGGCAGCGACACCAAATGTAACAACAGAAGACAAGGGCGAAGCAACAGATCGTTTTATTATGAAAATCAACACGTATTTATACATATTTCACATACATTATTATAGACAAGCGCAGTCATCTGATTGGTTGTTTATCAGAAGTTAGGCAGACAAACGCAGGCTTCTGATTGGTTGTTTCGGGATTCCTCGACAAATAGAGTTCTCTATCTGCGAATCATATTTTGCCACGTTAACTTTGCTGTGATTGGTTGTTGACTCAGCCTTGTTCATATTTTCTCACGGCCCATATGAACGTAGATTAGTGTCAACCAATCGGCTAGCAGCCTGCTCTCACCACACCCGGACCACATGCGTGGCTGGCGAAAATTCTACTCCTGAACCATTGACGCACCTGAATAAGTGAAATTCTGATCTCATATTCATTTGGATTGAATGAATACAAATGTATGGGTCAAAACCTTGAATAATACTAAAAATTGCACTAGTTAATAATGATCAGAATATAATTGAGGAAGATGCTTTAAGGCGAATCTATTTATAGATCATTTTCACCCTGGATTGTTAATATGAACAATAAGGATGACGTCCGTTTGCGTTCAGCAATGCCACTAAAGTTTTGTATAGGATGATCGAATCGACATTAATAATTCTGAAACTAGGTTTGATATGGGAAACCAATACGTGACTCGTCTGAAGACCAAATACCAATAACTATATTCATTCACCCCTGACTCCTCTTGTTCCACCAAGAGCCCAAGTAAATAAACACAGAAGACAGATTAGTCCAGTAAAAACGATTGACCTATATTAAACAGAAACTACATTAGATACAAACTTTATTTACCTTGGAAATTTAAGCCAATAAATAACTAAATTAATTGGTTCAGGTCGCAACGTTATCGGATCGTATTTTAGTGAATATTCAGCCTTGGCCTGATAGTTTAAATTTTTCCGAACTTGTTTCAGACAAATTTAGGCATTTCCTTTCAATAGAAGATCTAACTCACTTTCCCGGTAGGCTTCTTCATGAACTGAAACTGATTGATTGAAAAGAACTATTGAAAACAAGGAATCACTAGACAGCTGTTTCGTTCTAATTTTGAACTCTTCGGCAGTGCACTTATATGACCCAATCAGAAATCGAAATCAAAGTCACCAGGCGGTTACAATATTATTAACCAATGAGTTAGTATCCAGTGATATCTGACTTCTATCTGTTTGGTCTGTGATGTGCACATAAGTACGTGCTACTGTCGAACCGCAAACTAGGATGAATTTAGGACTCATAACTGATTGGACACCGTTCCAGTTGCCGGATGGCCAACTAGCTTGCGTCGTGAACTAAAGATCCTAGGTCCGACCTATGGTAGATTTTATGGTTGCGTACTGATGAAGAGTCCCAGAATGGGGAGAAATAGCTCTCGAGTACTTTCTGGCTTCTATTGCTTATCTAACCGATGACTGGAGTGGAATAACTGGTCAGTGCTAACTGATTTTTCACGGCAGTACAATTGAAGTCGGTTCATGATGAAATCTGCCTTGAAATAAACTGAATCCTATCCGCATGATATTTGACAGACCTTGATGACATGAAAATCATTGGTTAGTTGACATTAAACTAAACAAATTTACTTTGGGATCTTAACTGCTAGAAAATATACTAAGTGATATAAATCGTCTTAACTAACACTAAAAGTGAGATTGTTACATTAAACATCATGATAGAAATACCTTTATATTGGAGTATATTTAGTAGCAAGCTCTTCACTCGATAGATTCTATTCCAACAACTGAAACCTTCAAACCATACTTCTAGTGTATCACACCGTCACTGAAAAGTACTATCCGAATTAAATCAATATATTCGATTATTCTTGTGCATCAGTGGCACAGCGATAGAATGCTCGCCAACTATATATGTGGTCCGGGGTTTGTTCCCCTGGCAACGCTCTCCTAAACCTAGCTAGGCCACTAATAAGACTAGTGAAGAGGGAAGGTTGGACATGAAACTGGCAGCCCCATCCCGTAAAAAATTAAACACCACTGCTATCGAAACTTCAAGCCCCTAGCTTGAAGTCCTATGTTCCAGTGGGAACGTACAGGAATTTAAAAAAATCGATTATTCTTGGAAAACCGAAACTGAAAGTTCATATGAACTATGACCAAGGTTTGACCGAATATTTCTTAAATAATTGAGCGCCGAATAAGAAAGTAACAGTTTAATATTCCTTGTAATTTCCTGATGATAAAAACGGGCCGAATTGACTGGTCTCATTTTGGCATATGACCTCACAGAATGTTTGCATGATCATTAACTCCAATTTAAAACAAGCAATAAGGGTTAATAAAGCAGGATTTAATGAATTCATCAAATTTTGGTAGAACTCGTCAGCTGAATACTCTACATACAGGGATATATATAATATATATACTTTTGAAAATACATTAACTTCAATTTCCCTGTATGATAATGGCTGGCATTGAAATCAAGGACAGGCATTTTGTCTCACTTTGGGCTTATTAGATGAATGCAGCAGTACTTTGTCAATGGATTCTACATTCAACTATATGAAAAAATGTTACCTGAATTTTTAAGTTTTATTTTTTTTTTTTATTTTAGCCAAACGAGGGTTTTGTCCAGTTCTTTAATCATACTACAAAACGTTGGTCTATCGCTTGTGATAATCAGTTCTCTTCACGTGTAGCTCAGGTAAATAAAATATGATATAAAATTTATCATTTAAATTACTCTTCCCTATGAAGAAATTATACTGTTTAGAGTTGAAAAGCTAATCGTTTTTTTAACTTTTATGGTATCACTGTTATGTTCGCTGATTAGTGGGTGTGATACTAATACTGACAACCGATTATATGGAATATTAACACAATGTATGCAGGACAGTAGAAGTAATTAAGTGGATGAATGAGAAAGTTCGATGGAACATAGAAGACTATGACGATTGTTAAGTCACTGGAGGTGATTAGCGGGAGGCCACACCAGAACTAGGTTTTCTGCTTGTTGGTACTCGTCAGTAAGGCGTATTTGAAATCTCGAAGAAAGTGGTACTCATCTTGGAAATTCAACTCTATGTCACGCAGCGCTGCAGACGTTACCAATGAGATGTTTTGGGCTCATGACTGACCTCCTGTAGGACTCATCACTAGAAAGTAAGCAGTGTCATGTGTCTAGTCCTTAGTGTTAGAGTTCTAATTGAATTCTATCAGTCAGGTTTACACTGTGGTCACCAAAGTAGGTGACTGGCCATTGCAGTGCATTTTTAACTTATGTTAAACGATTAGAGACAATCGACAGGAAGCCAGTGACCTAGGTTTCGTCACTTTTAGTATTCGTTAGCCGTTTTTAAGACGACATTTAGTAAATGAGATTGAAAGTGTTGATATGAATAAATCAAAGGGATTTTATCGAAATTCCACTCAAAAACCATTGACAGAACATAAAAAAGTCTACCTCCTTTTTATTTTGTTCAATGAAGCCTTATCTCACGACTTCGTCTAAAGGGATTATTCTTCCCAACACAAAGGTATACAGATTTCATGATCAACGTAATCCTTATTAAAATGTGCACCAAATAGGCAGACTATCATTGACATAATTCAGTTTACGGCCAAACCACAATTATCTCCTATATTCAAGTGAAATTTGAGCACAAGTAAGTCAATCACTGAATAGAGAATATAGAATAAGTATTACAACAGAAGTTTATCGCTTAAATTTTGGGTGGTTTGAACTGATTCACTTGTACAGGCTCATAAGAAAACGAACAAAATAGCTGTCCAGTGTTTATATCCCTTCGATTTGGCTAGCGAACACTACTGTTTGATGAAATTAACATCTAACTACCAGTATATTATAAAATTTTACACATTTCAAGTTTTAAGTCAGTTTAAGAAACTAAATTTCAGAATAAAATTGCAAACACTCAGTCTAGTCATTTTATACTACTGACAACTTAGTATAAGTAGTTCGATACCACCTACGTCAACCATTAGTGCTTACTAGCTAGATCGAAGTGATCTAAACTCCAGGCGGATGTTTCTGTCATCTAGGGACGAACTCATCAACGTTGTATCCAGTTTGACTAAACTCAGAGAGTCGAATCAGTTCAAACCATGCGAATTCTGGCTGGCTACTTGAGAAAACTGGTAATCGTCAAAGCGAATTCGTCACCTGCAATTTACACAGTAGTATGTAGCGTCATGCATTCATGGTTACTTTCTTGACTGTTAATTACAGTAACAAGTGAAACACACATTCCGTGTTCTGAATAAATTTGATTTCCAAGGAAACTATGGTGAAATTTGACCTGGAACTGTGTAAATTTCAAATAAGTGTACATTCAGTCTGTTATAGTTGCTTTGTCAGTAGAACATCTGAAAAGGAGATTGTTTATCAGATCTTCACCTCATTAGCTAATCTGATGGCTGAGCGTAACTGTTAAAAACCTGTAGAACATTTATTACTATTGTCGTTGTTTCTTTTAGTTCCTAGATAAACACAGGGCTTCAGACGCATGTCTCCATTGCGTTCGATTCTCTGCCAACGCTTTCACCTGACTCCACGTCTGCCTACATGCTTTCATCTCCTCCATATAACCCTCACACTGAGGGCTAACTCGCTGCTTTCCACTCGGGTTCCTCTCGATTGATGGCCTGGCGTGTGATTTCACTTGATGGGTTGTTTTCTCAGATTATGGCCAATCCACCTCCATTTCTTCCTGCTTATTTGTTGCAAAATTGGTTCCTGCTACGTTGGTTTGCTCATTGCCAGAGATCCGTGTTGCTGATCTTTTCTGGCCGGCTATCTGATCTTGAGCGAAGACAGCTGTTGATGAAGGTCTGTAGTTTGTTTGAGGTGCTCTTCATGAAGCGCCAAGTCTCTGATCAATACAGTGAGTAGCACTGGCTTCACATTAGAGTTGAAGATCCTGTAGGACATTATTTAGATCATATATATTATCACAAATGATAAAGATATCATCACCATACTTTCTGTACAGGAAAAAAGCTGTCAATAGTTAACTTCAGTAGACTGTCTTTAAGTAACGGACCTAAACGGTATCTCATGGCTATATCATCTTGCTGTCAGTAAACTACACTACTGAACTGGAGTTTGAAAATGTATCGAAGTAGGAGTTATTTTAATTCCTGGAAATCTCTATTCCCACATTCAAGTTATCATCTTTCAAGTTTCTGTGTATAAAAATCAGATTGTCTTCATTAGCACCCAACTTTCCTTTAGACGTTTTTAATGTATTACGTAAACCCTTAGTTCAAACTCACCAATATTCACACCCTTAGTTACGATTTGATTAATCATTAAACTTTCCAAACATCTTGATCTGAACGGTATTTCAGACTAATTTGTTTTTTCAAGTATTGATTTTCGTAGGGATTTTGTTTGATTGGTTAGAAGATTTCATTATGAGCTGACATCATTTGGAGAACCATTGGAAAACCTGAAGGGAGTACTCCACAGCTGTTTCGTTCTAGTTCCGGACACTTCATCAGTAGATAAAGCAGCAACTCATCGAAGAAAACATCGCAAAGTGGTTGCGTTATGTCATGAGTTTCCAGAAGTTAGAATTCATGAACTGCCGATTGGATCGGGTCCCAGTGGCTTGATAGTCTACGAGTTCGCCTTGTAGCTAGACAGTCCTGGGTTCGAACCCCTGTGGTGGGTGCATACTGCTTAAGAGTCCCAAACTAGGTTGACGAAACAGTAGTCCTTTACTCCCAGGTACTCTAGTGGTTCTTCAACTATCTGTTTTTATTTCAAATGCCTTTTGTTATGCTTGACACAATGAATGTACACATGCACAGAACTGTGGTCCAAGGCTTGCTACTGTTTGCCTCCAACCGTCCAGCAATAATTCATATTGCACAGAGATGGCAAGCCACATAGAATGACGGCCACATTTGAAAAAATTGACTGACAGAATTCAACCTGCATCAAACGAAGGACTAGATGCATGACGTCAGTTACCACCTAGTGTGCAGTCAAATTATATATATATATATATATATATATATATATACATGGTCCGGGTCTTGATCCCCGGCCGACGCACATCCAATATCAATGGTCGGCCTGTTAAATTTGGGCTGCCGATATCACATGATGAAAATTCCATACTTATATCAAAAACACTATATGGAGTCAAGCTATAATAAAAAAATTTTTAAATAAAAAAAATTGCGATTGTACAGTTAAGTAAATGAATTCGCCGAAAACAGTCCCTTCGCTGTGTCGGTGGCATAGCGGTTAAGACGCTCGCCGACCATTCACATGATCGGGGTTCGATCCCCCGCCGACTCACTCCTTCACCTCACCAAGCCAGCAATAAAAAGCTGGTAAACATGGGAGGTTGAGCATGAGGCTAGCAACCCCATCCTGTAAGAGTAAACACTGCTACAGAAACTTCAAGCCACTAGCTTGAAGCCCTATATTCCACTGGGGAACGTGAAGGAAAAAAAGTCCCTTCGCTGAACTGTTTGTTCTTATCTTCATGACTAGAAAGACATTTTCCCCGTATTATTTAATCGAATCATTTTTTTTTAAATTAATCTGCAACTGTTAAATTCTCTATTTTCTACTGGTTAAATCATTTACTCTTTAAAGGTTATCTGTTCGGAGTTCAATATGCCAACACTGAATGCAATTGCACGTTTTTCAAATCTATTCGATTATTATGTGTATGGGTATGAAAATTCATTAAATATGAAATATATTTGGATGGAAAGTTATACATGTAATGGTTTTGAAGATCAACTTGCCTATTGTTCTAAACGATTAAATTATGATGCTGTTAGGTAAGTGTAAATCTAATAAAAAATAAATTATTATTCAGAGTAAGTTTCTTCACTCTATCAAAATACCAATTAGAGAATTATCACAAATCACAAGGTACACATCAACTGTCTGCTTCTAATATGCAACTCTTCAGAAATGTAAAATAATGACTCTTTCAGAGGTTGAAATCAAGACTTTTAGATCACAAGATGAGCAAGTTACCGCTCAGTCGGTGGATCTTTGAAGCTTGTTAAATCTACCGATTTTCCTTTATAAATTGGTGTAAGCTAGGAGATCATCGGGTCAGTTGGTGGTTCAACAGTAGAACAGTAGTCAAGCCATTGATAGCTAAAAGGTACGTTGTCTTTCAGCTGCATATTCCGATCCAAGATTATACAACTCGTCAAAGCCGTATAAATATTGCACAACAGACCTGGCATAATTACTTTCAACCCGATATAAGATCAAGTGTAGCGGTGATGAATATATATGAACATTAAAATGAAATGTCACCTATTTCGTATCAAAAAAGAGCAAATTCATTCAAGTTCACCTAACAACACATTTTAAATTTGTTGAGATCCACTAAATGTTTCAAATATCTGGGAAGTAAATAGTCTAACTTGAAGTTAGAATTCATGGACTAGCCATTGAGTTGGATCCCAGTGACTGAATTGTCTAAGAACTTGGCTTGTAACCGGCAGGTCCTTGATTCGAACCCCGGTAAGTGATTAGAGCCAGTGAGTCCCAGACTAGGACGAAACAGCAGACTAGTAATGCCCGGTTCTCATTGGTCCTCTAAGTGATATCAGTCTGTGATCAAACTTGAAACAAATGAAATCCCTACAAACTAATTCTTGAAATTCTAAAAAGGATTTATTGATACTTATCATTCCCTGTTGATAAATATAATCTCAGAGTGGTCGGTCTACTTTTGGTATATGATTTCTTCAGAACACCATCACTCACTTGGGAGCAAGTACATTCAGCTGACGAGTCCCAAACGAGATGAAACTCTCATAATGGACTATATATTGCTGGCTATCATGAAACAAATAAATAGTTTAGTACTTTTTTTTTCCTTTGTGAAGAATCCTTTCTAAGGTGTAATTCTATAAATCTCAATTCCTACCGACTTCATTTCTTTTCCTTCTTTCATGTTTGTAATTCTATTTTGCTATTTTTCAAGGTGTTTAAAACGCAAAGAATTTGTCTTTTTACGTTGTACATCTCAAAGAAATCAAACTACATGGAAAAATAAACAAAACATAAGTAGATCAACAGATTTGTCTACACTAACCTGGGGTAATATTCGTATTGTTCAATCAACCTTTGAAGAGTATAATAAAGTATGGAGTGATAATGGTGACTCAACACGTTATGATAAACAATCTATACTAGAGCATGTACATATAGAAAATGCTGGACTGTTACATGGTGAACGTGTCCCTGCGCTGAGTGTTGTTAATGCTTATCCAAAGTAAGTTCAGAGTATGGGATGGCTTTTATCTACTTAAAACATAAAAATTTAGTTCCAAAGGGATTAACAACACTCGTCGACTTGTAGATTTTGCTTAAGTAGCTGGCATTGTCTGTTTTTTGTGACAACTCGTGACATATTCAGGCATTTCTTTCTGTTTATTCTAGGAATATAAAGATGATATATGTTTACAGTAGTGATTTTGACTTCAAAAGAACACCCTACTACTCGAAATAACCTTAGTTAAATATATCTGTTAGACAGAAGAGAACAATAAGCTCAGCAAAGTTTTTTTATATTTTATTCCTTTAAGTTTCCAGTGGAACATAGAGAGACTTGAAGTTTCAGTAGCAGTGTTTACTTTTTAAAGGATGAGGTTGCTAGCCGCATGCTCAACCTTCCCTCTTCATCAGTCTTATTACTGGCTTATCTAGGTTTAGGAGTGCGTTGCCAAGGGATCGAAACCTGGACCACATGTGTGGTCGGCGGGCATTCTACCACTGTACCATTGACGCATGTAAGCTCAGCAAACAGATATCTTTTCACTGACTAAAAATGCTCATTAAAATTTTCAAAAGAATGGATACTGAAAAAAGAATGCTCTTTTCGATAACTTCATCATAAGGCTCTACAGTTATATATGCATTATACCGCGCTTTTTGATTAGTGTATTACGTTTTCGCTGATATATATAAAACTCTCATTTCCTTGTTGTATCTCACTACGAAGTTCTGGAATTTATTACAATCTGTCTACTTTCGAACACTGAACCTGTTGATTTAATTCTGTTGATTTAATATCACTGACTACTTATACCTATAACAAAGTATTTTTTTTGACATCTTGTGACGTTTTAACACTAACATATCTATAATTGTATATATTGTTGGATTTAAATGTTCAAGTTGGCCTAAATCAGTGAGTCTATCGTTTTGATATCATTGTAGTTAACTGTGCTTAACTGTATTGCATGTTGTTGTATTGTATTGTTGTTGTCGCTTTTTACCCTTTTATCTGTGAATTATTTTCCTTTTGCTGGTGTTGTTCTGATTGTTTTATCCCTTGTTTCTCGATTTTAAGGGGAGCAACCCAAAAGTCGCTTCTCTCTACACTTTATCTCAATGTAACCATTCCTTTCTCAGGCGTGAGGCTAGCAACCCCACCCTGTAAACAAAGTTGCTACAGAAACTTCAGTACGATGAATCTCTTTGCACCAAAAGAAAAAGTCTGTGTGGGGACATGGAACGTCCGCACTATGTGCGAGATAGGGAAAGCTGCCCAGATCGCAAACGAGATGAAAAGATACGGAATCCAAGTGCTGGGAATATGTGAAAGCAGATGGAATAGGAGTGGACTCACCAAATTGTCAACGGGTGAGTCAGTGATCTACTCCGGTCACCCAGAAGATAACCACACGCACACCGAGGGCGTGGCTATCATGATGTCACCAACGGCAACGAAAGCCCTGATGCAATGGGAGGCGATCTCGTCCAGGATAATGACCGCCAGATTCAACTCCAAAGGAAGGAAAGTGTCAATCATACAATGTTATGCACCCACAAACAACGCAGACCTCGAAAAGAAAGAAGAATTCTACAGACAACTACAGGCAACAATGGACAATACTCCAGCTGGTGACATTAAAATACTAATGGGAGACATGAACGCCAAACTGGGACCAGACAACACAGGAAGGGAACTCATCATGGGTAGAGAAGCTCTCGGAGAAATGAATGAAAATGGAGAACTCTTCGCCGACTTCTGCGCCTTCAACGAACTAGTGATTGGTGGCAGTGTATACAAACACAAAGATATCCACAAGGCTACATGGGTGTCACCAGACGGGCAAACCAAAAACCAAATCGACTTCATCTCAATCTCAAGGAAGTGGAGGCGCAGCCTACTGGACACAAAAGCAAGAAGAGGAGCAGACGTTGGCTCAGACCACTATCTCGTACAAGGGACAATCCAAATCAAATTAAAAGCTTTCAGGGAATCAGGAGCTGCAGATAGACCACAAGCCAAGTTCAACACTCAAAAGCTGAAGGACCAGGATACAAAGGACATCTTCATTGCAAGCATAAAGGACAAAGCCGAGACACAAATCAACACCAGCGAAAAGGTCAGCGTCGAAAAGCACTGGGACAACTTGAAAACGGTGTGGAGTCAAACCTGCATGGAAGTTCTAGGCAGAAAGAAGAGGCAGGACAAACAGTGGCTCACTACGGACACTTGGAAACTAATAGAAGAGAGAAGGACAGTGAAACAAAAGATTATCCAGTGCACCGACGAGCAACAAAAACAGGAGCTGAATGCAAGCTACAATACACTGAACAAAAGAGTGAAGAAGAGTGCCAGGGAAGACAAAAGAAAATATTATGAAACCATGGCAAACGAAGCAGAACAAGCTGCAGGCAAAGGAGACCTCGCCACACTCTACCAAACAACTAGGCACCTATCGGGAAAAAGTTCAACACAGATTAAGCCAGTAAAGGATGACAATGGAAAGTCAATCACCAAAGAAGTGGAGCAAAGAAAACACTGGGCTGAACACTTCAAAAGACTTCTAAATCGACCGCCACCTACAACGCGCCCAACAATACCAACAACGGAAGCAGAACTACCAGTGAACATCGACCCCCCGACGAAATCAGAAGTCCTGAATGCAATCAAGATGCTAAAAGCTGGAAAAGCAGAAGGACCAGATGGAATCCCAGCAGAAGCTTTGAAAATGGACCCAGATACAACAGCGGACTTGATGAACCCATTACTGGAGAAGGTGTGGAAAGAGGGCAAAGTACCCGAGGATTGGAAGAAAGGATACTTATTCAAACTACCAAAGAAAGGAGACTTAAGTCAATGCAAAAACTGGCGTGGAATTATGCTTCTGTCCATCCCAAGCAAAATACTAAGCCGCATCATCCTAGAGAGAATCAAACAAGCCCTGGATGAAAACTTCGACCGGAACAAGCTGGATTCAGGAGAAACAAGTCATGTATTGATCAAATCGCCACTCTACGGATCATCATTGAACAAAGCTTGGAATGGCAGTCACCTCTCTATCTCAACTTCATCGACTTTGAAAAGGCCTTCGCAGACAGCGTCGATCGAGAGGTCATTTGGAAACTACTTCGCTACTACTGTGGGGTGCCATCGACAATTATACATCTCATCCAACAGTTATACGACAATGCTGCATACCTCCAAGTTATCCACAACGGGAAACTTACGGAATCCTTCGAATTGAGGACGGGAGTGAGCCAAGGCTGTCTACTATCTCCAATGATCTTCCTGATTGCAGTAGATTGGATAATGCGACAGACAGTGGCGGGCAATGAGGAAACAGGCATAAAATGGACCCACACAAAAAACTTGGAGGATCTGGACTTCGCCGATGATATATGTCTGATTTCCCACAAACTGGAAGATATGCAAGTGAAAAGCAACAAGTTGGCAGAAGAAGCATCCAGAGGAGATAGGACTTCAGGTGAACATAGATAAAACAGAGGTGATGAAGATTCCTGGCCAACAGCAACAGCAACAACAACAGACAACAATCAGCAAGCATAAATGGGAAGAACCTGAAAGAAACAACCTCCTTTACCTACATACCGACCTGGGAAGCATCGTTACAACTACAGGCGTCGGTGGCACAGTGGTTAGGACTTCCGCCGACCATGCACATGGTCCGAGGTTCGAACCCCAGCCGACGCACACCTGATATCTATGGTCGGCCTGCAAAATTTGGGCTACCGATATCCATGCTGAAAATTCCATATTTGTACCAAAAATACAGTGTGGAATCAAGCTGTAAATCAAAAATATAAAAATACAAAAAAAAACTGACGAGGATATCAAAGCCAGAATCGGAAAAGCAAGACAGGCTTTCATTACTCTTAAGTTTGTATGGAGGTCAACAGCACTCACCATCAAAAATAACATCCGGATTTTCAACTCCAATGTGAAGTTAGTCAGTGCTATCCGCTATAAGGATCAGAGACTTGGCGCGTCATGAAGAGCATCTTGAACAAACTTCAGACCCTCATTAACAGTTGTCTTCGCTCAATACTCAAGATCAGATGGCCGGCCAGAAAAGATCAGAAACAGGGATCTCTGGCGATGAGCGAACCAACCAGGAACCGATTGCGAAACAAATAGGCAGGAAGAAATGGAGATGGATTGGCCATACACTGAGGAAACCAACCATCAAGTGACATCACTAGACAAGCCATCACTCTAGTGGAACCCGGAAGTGAAGCGGCGAGTTGGTCGTCCAAAGGTAACTTGTAGGAGGTCATGTGAAGAGGATATGAAAGCATGTGGGCAGACTTGGAACGGAGTGAAAAAGTTGGCAGAAAACAGAAGGCAATGGAGACGCGCAGCTGAAGCCCTATGTTCCTCTAGGAATTAAAGGATATAATAATAATAATAGTGAATGAATGAATGAATTAGTATAATGAACAACATTAATTTTGCTTAAATAACATCGAATCAATAATAATAATGTCACTGGATTACAGTTCAATAGCACTAACATTAAATAAGCTGAATGTCGGAAAAATTAGGAAAGATAATAAATCAAATTCATGAATTTATAGTCTCTACTGAAGGCCAAGACAGTAGTAGGGTCTGGACTTGCTTCTTTTGAACACAGGACACTGGTTGTTTGAGGCGAATGGTAGTAGCCTCTGCTGTTTGGAGCATACGGTGCTTCAATGATTTCGGCAATTTATTAGGCACCCGGTAGATTAGAGAGAAGGATTCATCCACGCTGGCTTCGTGGCCGGTTTCCACTAGATGGTCATATATCAAACTGTTAACAGTTTTAAGTGCACCTTTACTTAGCCATAGTGGGAGATGTTCTTGAGCACGAAGAATCAGATTCCCAAAGCAACGCCCAATATAACTCCTCCCACAAGCCCAGTTGAATTGGTAGATACAATTTGAAGAGGCTGGTCTAGGTACTTTATCTTTCAGTCAAGGTAGCACCATCGGTCGTG